TTGGTTCTTAAATTAAATTTTGCAATGCAAGTTTTGTTTGAAGGAATTTATGGCAGGTACAGTATTTGAAAATTTTCTGCTGGCCTGCAAAATGTGCACGGACCTTAGTCGGTCCGCAGAAAATTTGATGAGAATTTGCTGGTTTGAGAAAAGTTTTATGGGAATTTGCTGGTCTGAGGGCCCAAAAAGGGTGGGGAACACTGGACTCAATACAATTGCTTCCAATAACAAGGGAAGAGGAGTAAGAGCATAGTACTGTACAGTTTAGTGGAGAGCAAGGCTCGGGCCAAGTCCCAAATAAATGTCCTTGCATGTTCAAGGCGTTTACCCAAACCTTGGACAGGTAAAACATATCCAGTAAGACTCTTGATTATCAAAGTTGATAATCAGACATTTCGTTCGCTTTTGATTCCGACTTGAAAAGAGGGGAAACCTTTTGTAGTACAACAGCAGGGCTTGAATTGATTCATAAATGTACAATACAGTACTTCATTAATGTAATTGATGCATGAACACTTCCACCACTTTTCCGAAAATATGACGGGTCATATTCTTAAAGTGAAACTCTGATCTCCGGGTATCAGATCAAAAAAACATTCCGTCTGCCCTTGTATCAGAAATCAAGGGAAGGGCAAATTATGTAGGAAAACAGGGCTTGAATTGAGTCGTAATATAATAAAACTTATTTGCGTACATCCGTACTCCGACTGTTACGGCATATCGCGGATAGTATGACTGGTTATCTGGGTACCGATTCATCAGATATCCAACCAACCAAATATTTAGTCTGCCCTCGAGTCCGACACGTCAATGTATGGGGAAAATGTACCACATAGAAAACGGAGGGGCTGAGGCGGAATAAAAAAATATTGATTTTCTCATGTTTCTACATTGTTTAGCAAAAAAAAAAAAACAAGTTTACAATGGCTCAGTACATTATCTGTGCTTCGATTGACCGGATATCCGACTAGCCGAGCTCGGATTTAGATTCTATATCAAAAGGGAATAAAGCGGCTGGAATATTTAACATCATAATCAAACAGAATTTCGCATTCGTCGGGTCAAAAACACTTCGAGAAAGCTTAGCACGAATATTTAAAAATACAAAAATTTTACTCTTTTTAATATACTTTTCAACATTTGATTATGCGGAAAAATAAAATGTCCTAGAATTTTCACCTGGTGTTTAGCCCGAAAAACGGAGACATACCCAACGAATATTTTAAAATATTGTATGTGATTGGAAACAGCAGTTGTAGATACTTCAAAATGTTCATTCTTTTAAATTTGAGGAAACTCGGTCTATAATAGCCGACCAAACATTTAAAAATCACAAGCAAAATATAAAATTTTAATAAATAATAGCCGACCAAACATTTCAAAAATACAAGCAAAAAATAAAATTTTAAGCTAGTGATCGCGCACAAACCAAGGATTTGTCATAACAGTAATTCGAGATTTAGCATCGAGTTGAACAATTATTTCCAGAGGAACTGTCCAAACCACAGGATGATCAATTGTAATATGTCAATCAAGTTGAAATGAATCATTTTTGCCGGCACCTGGGGAATTTTCTTGGGTCGTCGATTTCCATTTTCATGTAACCTTCGCATTCAAACCCAGTAACACGCGCATTGCCAAGATCGGCAGCATTTTTTCATTAAACCCGTTTTTAATCCAAAAATATTTTAAAACCATTTTTATATCATTTGGGCATTTTGGTACAGTAGTATGCAGATTACCAGCAAATTTACCAATTTAGCGAGAATGACGGGTAAAGTTCGTTTTCAACCGAAAAATAAAATTCATTCATCACATTTCGCCTCACTCTCAATGTTATTAAGCATGAAAATCGAACTATACCGACCAAGAACTGATGAAATATTTATCTGGAAATGAAATGTGACACACACACACACACACATATATATATATATATATATATATATATATATATNTCTCAGCCGAAAACGCTCATGATCTACAGTAATTCTAATCCGCGTTGAGTACCTAGACAATTGATTTTTTTTCCAGTTTCACGAAATTCCCGAAAGCTGACAGACAAGTCTATCTTAGAGACAACTACAACTTTGATTGCAAGTGCGTCGCATGTGACGGAGACTGGCCCGTGTTGGAGGAGACCGAGACAAGGGAATTCGATTGTGCTCGTTTATGCCAAAAATGCAACGCAACTTTGAGCAATGAAGAGATGGAATCGAGCGTGAATTGCAAAGAATGCGGGGCCGAGTTGGACGAGACAGCTCGTGAGCTCGCAATGCGATGGCGAGACGTGATGCAAATCGTTAACGGCGCAAGGTACATCCGCCTTTTCTTTAATGATTATTTCTTTTCCTTTTTTTGCTTTCTAGTGAAACCACGGTTTTATGAATGCGTTGGTTCGAGACATTTTGAAATAGAATAACGGATAAGTATTCGGAATGCATGAACTCTCTTTGTGACTGTCACACGATCACACGCTAAAGCAAGACCACCCAGCTTCGCCAAGGTTGCGAGTAAAATGTATTTGATGAGGAGGGAGTTTCCTGAATAGGTGTTTCAAAAGATTTGTAGATCGTGTCCGTGGAGGTGATTCAAGTTGAGCATTTATTTCTTTCCTTACATTTCACTCAAGTTTTGTTGCGTTTACCTCACGGTTTTTTTTTTTTCCAAAGCCTCAGGTTAAATCCTCTTAACCTCCAGTAACCTTCAGCGAAAATAACCACAAAAAAAGATTTGCGGTACCGAAGTACGTTTACTGCCACGAAGTCATTTAACTCACGCGTTTTCTACAATACCGTGCCGTAAAATTGAACTTTTCAAGTTGCGTTTCAAAATGCAAGTATCTTATGCGAAGCAGGGAAAATTACGGGTGTGACGCACGATTATTTAAATTATAATTTCCGTATTATTCTTACTCCTGCAACGTAATCTCCAAAAGTTTCACTTCTTCTAGCATTCAAACATTTCACGGAATTCCATGATAAATGTCAAACTACTTATTTTCCGTAGATATCGAAGAACAAGATTGCTTTTTAATACGAGAGAAGATTTACAGAATATTTTGTTCATTATCGAAAATAGTGGTCCCGAAATTTTGGGCACGTTTGAAAGCGATATTTTAAAACTAGAATAAGCTCAAAGCCTACGCAGTGACACTAGTGACATTAAAATGGAAATTTTAAAATAATTTTCATTCGCGTTATTTTCATCAAACGTTTCGCGGTTTCCGTAAATTTGTTAAAGGATCTAAGATCACGAAAAACGGACAGGGTAGAAAATAAATAAATTCGTCATTAAAAAAATCCAATAACTACGAACAATTAGAATTTCAAATTAAAATTTGATCCGAGTTCTGCTACAGACTAAGCACTTTGTTCTTGACATTAATTTTTCAGGAAATCGGTTCCGAAATTTGCTGATACACTCAATACGTCTCCGATGCTTGCATATCTGTTTTCTTTGATATCAAAACGGCTTTTCCTTGAATTAAGGGAGCTAAATGCATTGAAAGCTTCCCAATTCTAATAATTACAGTAGTTCTAATCCCAGTTATTTTGTACTCATTCATTTTATTCCGGTGATACGAAAATAAGTCACCGATTTTGAACACGGCTACAATCACAAGCTCAGGGTCAAATGAGGGCTTTCATGTTTACGAATTTTAATTTTGTACATCTGAATGCCAAGTTCGTGCATGTTGCGTTTCCTAATGAGAAGATTTATGCTGAAAGTAGAAAAAAATAAAAGTTAACTTGGCCCAATATCAAGTGGCTCAGTAATTAGTAGGCCGAATCAAAAGATACATTATCCCAATTTCATACTCGGTAATCGAAAAGAAACGGCATTCAGAGATCCTCTCAGCGATGGAAGCCGTTATTCAAAGCCCGAGGGCATATCAGTTATTTTCCGAGGTAAGGAACAAAACAAAAAAAAGTTTGGGGCAAAACTTATTAATCTCTTAGGAGCCGGCAGCCGCGGCCTCTGTGCCTGTGGACGTCGTTTCGCATGACCTTTGCTCGGTAACTTCAAAATTTTAAGTACACCTTGGCCGCGGGGCACTGCATGACTCGGCGCGGCCAAGAACCCTATTTCGACTACTTCTTCTCTCTCGAGATGCTGACGAAGAGCTTTCAAGTGGAAGCACGATTATGATGGATGGATGGGACAAAGACCGTGTCGGAAGTATTCCACGCCTTGAATCCTGTTCAAGAGCAATATCGCGGCTGCTCATCAGGCACTCTCGCGGGCACCAGGTTCATACCCAGAAAAGCTCATTCGTTATCATTTACTTTCAAATATCTCTCGACCACAGGAATTGATCATGAATAAACAAATCTTCTAGCCCCAGGGATCGCACGAAATTTTGAAATAATCTACACAGAATGTTGAGCGGAATTTGAAGATTGCACATCCTTTTCGAGGGTTGTCTGTTTTAAATGGAACCCTTGTTGGACGAATCCAAATGGATTTAATTTATTGCTAGTTGATTTCCTTACCCCTTTCTCTTTATCCCCCTCATTTAATTGAAGAACACATCCAAAAATAGGTGGGAAATGAGTGTTTTCTGCCACACTTGCGTGGTACTAGGATTGCAGACTGAAAAA